GTGTCCCTGTGCGCGCACACGCGCGCCCCCCGCGTCTCCCCTGTCCCTGTGTGTGTGTCCCTATGAGTGTCCCCGTGTCCCCACGCGTGTCCCCGTGTCCCTGTGCGCGCACACGCGCGCCCCCCGCGTCTCCCCGGCAACGGCCGGGAGCAGCCRCCCCGCGCGGGGCACACTGGGTAACGTAGTCCCGCCGCGCGCCCCCCGTCGCGGGCGCGCGCCTCCCGCCGCGGCCGCGGAACTACCGCCCCCAGCGTGCATCGCGCCGCAACGGCGGCGGCCCCGCGCGGCCGCCATTTTGTAGCTCGCTCCAGGCGGGGTTTCGGGCGCGTTGTGTCGTCGCCGCGTTGTCGCAAATCGCGATCAAACCAAACGCCGCAGCGCGCCCGGCCAGCGCAACCGGGGGTGGCCATAAAGCGGAGAGGGAGGCGCTTTCCTCGTGCAAGCCCGGCTGCACGGGCGTGCGGTTTATTTGCTGTTTCTCCCTTTGCAGTTGGGCCGGCTGCAGGCGCCCCAGCGCACGAGACGGTCCCGCTGATGGTTTGGGTTTTGCGGTGGCTTGGAGCTGCTCCCGTGGTGGTCGTGCCTGGTGTTGGCAGTGGGGAGAGAGGAAGGACTGAGGTCTGCAGTGGTGATGGAGCAGCGAAGCCGCCGAAGGCAGAGGATGAGGGGCCCCAAGTAGTGCAAATAAATAAATAATAATTGGGAGGTGAAGCTGGAACGAGCTCGCTGGCGGTTCCTCGGGCGCGTGGCGCGCTGACGGAGGGGCCCGTGCGGGGGCTGCTGCGTGGGCCCGGCGGCTGCGGGTGCTGCCGGGCGCGGGGGACAGTGGCCACGGGCACGTTTGAGAAGCACCCGGCTCCAGTCGCTGCTGTGGAGGACCCCAAAGGCTGCGCCGGGCGGATCCCCCCTCCCAGGGCCGCGCGTAGATCCTCATCTCCGCAGCTGGCAGTGCAGCGGGGTCTGCTCGTGGCACCGAGGCCTTCCCCTGGTGCTCCCGCCGCGGTGTCGCCGCCCGCAGCGGGGACGGTCTCCGCGGCACGGCCACGGCGCCGTCTCCTCCGCCTGCGGCGCGGCCGGCCTGGCACGCGCCGCTCAGGCGTGTGCTGCTCGGTGAGCCCCGCTACACGTCCGTGGAGTACTCCATCATGCTGGGGGAGAGAGGAGAGGGTCAGCGTGGAGGAAACTGCCCGCGTGGGACCGTGGTGGGGAGCTGGAAAATGCTCTGGGAATGGGGCCTTTTACCACTCGTAAGTGATGAGACACGGTGGGCTCTTTGTGGGAAACAGGCAGTGAGAAGCAGGAGGGAACTTGGGCAGCGCGGTGCTGTGCGAGCCCAACAGAGCCCTGCTCGCTGCCCTGGAAGCGAGCCCGAGAAGCAGGGTGCAGGGTGAGACACTGCGGAGTGATGCGGAAGGACGGCAGCGCTAGGAAGGCCCGGCCTCCAGTTCTGCTAATACTTCTTTTTCTTTCTTTTTTTTTTTTTTTCCCACCAAGAATTGAAAATGCACAAATGGAAAATTTGAACCAAATTGTTCACTTTTTTTTTTTTTTGCTTTGTTTTGTGTTTTTTGCCTCGTTTCAGTGGACTAGCCTGCGGGACCAGTGAAGGTGGAAAGATATTGTCCCCCATTTAATGATAAAGCGGCTCCTCTTAGTGTCTTCTACGTATTAGGTTTGTGTTAGCCAGGTCAGGAGCCTGGGAGAGACCTCATTTTCCAGCCAGTCAGGTCTTTCTCCTGCCGGAGACAGTGGCCCCAGTGAGGACAGTAGCCCCTGGGACCTTCTCGAGTATCACCCACCTCAGTCCTTTTTGAAGCTTGGTGTGTTTCTCATCCAGAATGATGTTCTTAACGGATTGGGGGACGTCGGGGACATACCAGGCTGCGATGAACTTGATGCACAGAGCCACATGCTGSGGAGAGGAAACAGCCGCCGCAGGCAGTGAGGAGGGAGCAGGGGCTGCGTCTCCAGTGGCTCTCAGCCAAGGGCAGCAGCTCTCCAGACCTATTGAGACGGCCCAGGGACCCAGCGCTGCTCCCTCCCTGTGTGCCCCAGCCTCCTCTTCCTCCCGCTGCTCGCTCCCGTAGYGCTCACCTCGAAGAGGATGAGGAAGGCGAGCCGGGCTGCAAACACGTGCCAGAACTGGACCGTGTAGCTGTAGTCGCCGGCGTTCCTGTAGTCTCGGTACCTGTCGCAGAGCCCCATAGGCACCAGCCCCGATGCCACGGTGAGGGGCTGGGGGGGCAGTGGCTCCGGGCTGCCCTTACCTGCACTCCGTGATGCCCTGCCTGGCAAAGTCTGGCAGCTGCTCGGGCAGTCTCATGTGCGGCTCGAAGTCCCGGATGCGGAAGGTGGAGAGGCTGTGGTTGATGTAGCCGGCTGAGCAGCTGCGGAGGGAGAAGGAGCRTTTCCAGCCCACCCGCCTGCTGGTGGGCTGGGGGCTTCTGGGCCAGGGCCACGCTAGGAGCACGTGGGCTGCCCCAGCTCAAAGCTGCCGCAGTTGGAAATCTCTCAGGGATGGAGAGGAAGGCGCCCAGCTYCCAAGCTCATTTTCCTGCAGCTGCTGTTTAGACACTTCCCTCATGTGTGCGTTCTGACTAGTAGGATGCGTGAGCACAGGCTGTGGCCTCCCTTGTGGGGAGGGCTGGGGCTCTCCCTGCCCTGCCTYGTCTCCCATTTCCACACAGCCTGGRTGGACACCCCAACCCCCCAGAGGCTTTTATCCGGTTTGGTTGAAAGGGAYGAGTCAAAAGCCCCCGGGGAGGAGGGCGAGGGCAGGAGGGTGCCCCACGTCACACAGTGAGTACCAGGTTACCCCCTCAGCCCCTCTCCTGTGACCCCACGCCRGCCTCCCGCTGCCATCGTGGTGAAGTGCACAGGAGCTTGGCAGGGATCCTGAGGGTGCTGCCACTTGGAAAACTGCTTTTCCCTCCTTTTCCTGCAAGCTGGCACAGGAGGCTGCTCAGAACTGTGGGCAGGGAGGCAGGCCAGGGTGCTGGGGAAGGGCTCCGTGTGCGAGAGAGCAGCTGGCTGGTGGCACTCACTCCAGGGCACTGCTGTTCCCTGCCACACAGGGGCCGTATGTGTACTTGTASACCTGTATGGGAATGAAGTCGGATGTGATGGCGATCACCAGTCCGTTGCCGATGACGGCCAGGATGCCGATGGCTTCCAGGACCTGCAGCCAGATTCCTGCGGGAGAAGAGCCGTCAGGGAGGGGACGCTCCCTGCCACCGGCCCCGTGCCCCTGYCCCAAGGCTGCAGAGCGCTCCCAGGGCCCCGTCTCACCGATGTCGTTGGCCTTCCTGGGCACCATGCGCCGCCGTAAATGCACCATCTTGATGGCGTCCAGACGGATCTCGACGAGGTTGTTGATGAAGGCCAGCACTGGGGCGAGCGGAAAGGCAGCCACGAAGATGGTGGTGAAGCTGTACTGGATCACTGTGCAAGGGGAGAACAACCCTCGTGGGAGCAGAGCAGAGGGGCAGCCCGCGCTGCTGCCGGGATGTGCTCGTGGAGCAGGGCTGGGCAGGGATCGCATCCCAAAGCTCGCTCCTCCCTCTCGCATGGCAGGTAGGGCTAGTGAGGAGGGACTGATATCTGCACCGCTGCTGGTCCCCTCCACCCCCCGGGCTCCTGTGGAGCTGTGCGCCTTGCTGTCCCTCCTCCCTTGCCCCACGTACCCATCTCCAGGAACTCATCAAACAAGCTGAAGGTGTGGACTTGGTTGAGCTGGTAGTTGCTGAGCCACCACTGTTTGCAGGGGTCCTCGGCCTCCTCTTCCTCCCCCAGGATCAGGTTTTTCTTCTTGGGGAGCTTCTGCTGCTTGTGTATGTAGGTTACCCAGCTGGAAAGGGAGGGAGGGCATGGGTGGAGGCTCAGAGCTGAACCGCTGGCCGTGAGAGCCCTTGAGACCGCAGATGGGTGAATCTGCCGCCCCGGGGCTGCAGGAAGGCTTACGGGACCAGGTACTCCACGAAGTTGCTGAGGGTCTGCTTGAGGATCGTGATGGTGGCCATCTGGATGAAGAGGTCGGTGATGCAGCCGCTGGGGTGGCACTGCAGAGGGACGAGGGGAGGGGAGTGACGCTCTGTAAGCCCAGAGCGTGTCCCGAGGGGCATGCTCGGGTCAAGGACGGAGCAGGGAACGGCAGGGTAGGGATGTGSGTTCCCGGCGGCGCCTCCCTCACCTCCTCCAGCCTCCACTTGCCCGCCACACGCACGTAGTTTCCTGGGTGGCCGTTGATCCTGAGCAGAGAAGCAACAGCGGTGAGAGGTGCTGAGGCCACCATTGCCCCCTCTTCAGGTGAGCACCCAGCTGCAGGAKGGGCTTGCCACCCAGTGACCACCAGCAGAGACACGGAGCTTCMYCCAGCCCCAGAGAAAAGCCGTGGCSTTGCTGAGTCCCACCAGCTCCGGCTGGCCGGAACGGTGCCAGCCTGGTCAGCCYTCCCCTCGCTTCTGCCCTGGGCACGGGGCCCTGTCCGTGAGGSCAGAGGGGCTGGGCTGGCCGCGCAGGGAGAGCCCCCAAGGCCACAGTTTCCTTGGAAAACGCCGTTGGGAGGTTCGTGTCCCAGCACGGGTCTCGCACCGGCCGGACGCCACTCACCGCCCCAGGAAGAAGGCGATGTAGATGAGGGAGGAGAAGTTTGTGAAGAACTGGAAGGTGAAGATCTTCACGGTRAAGTTGTTCTCGCGCTGGGAGAAGGTCCGTGGTTGCTCTGGGGATGGGAGCAGAGCGCGGGGGCTTGTTTCATCAGCCAGCAGCGAGGCCTTGCCCTGCTCACCCTGGAGCCCCCAGACTGGGAAGGCGTCTCAGCCCTCCGAGGAGCCCTCCCTGGCCCTTCACCTGAGCTCATCACGTCAGCAGCGCTTGGGGGGCAATGAGGCCACCTCAGAGCGAAGAGCAGGGATGGGAGGCCACCGACCCTCTCGGCAGCTGCCTCAGCTTTGTGCTTGCCCTAGGGCTTAGCCCTGTAGGGTGGCTGCCCCTCTGAAGTGCAAAGACGCCGTGGAGACCTGACTGCATTTGGGGACCAGCGGGGTGCTCTGCTGTGGCCCCTAGGTATGGGGTACCCCCAAGTGTGGGTGCAGGCAGCAGCTTTCCCTTACCCAGGTCGCAGAGGTAGAGGGCCACGTGCCTGTTAACCTGCAGGAGAGAGGTGTAAGATGCAAGAGCGGAGCTGCTGGGAAGAGAACAAGGAGAAGGCCGCCTGTTCCCCACCAGAGCACAGTGTGCCCCACACCTTGGTCATGATGACGATGGTGAGGTAGTGTAGAACGGCCCCCGTGACCACCGCGACCGTGTTGGCGTGCTCCCGGATGAACTCCAGGCTGCTCTGGGTGAAGAGAGCCATTGCCACCACCCGGTAGATGACGAGCGCGTGGGCGATCCCGATGAGCACGGCGATCTGCRGAGAGCGAGGGCAGGAGGGAGGCCGAAGGCTCTGCACGGTGGACACGTGCTGCCTTTGGTGCAGATCCGTGAAGGGACAGCCCTAAATGGCTTCTTCCATTAGCCTGGCAGTGCACAAGGCCCCAGATCCTTGCGATGAGCATGGACCTGCCATAACTACCTGTCTTCTGCCTTTGCTGCAGTGACAGGACACCCTGCTCCAAAGCCCTTTTCCCGCAGCAAAGCAAGCGGGAAGGCAGGAAGTGCAGGGTGCCCTTCAGCCACAACCTTGCTTGGTCACCACATGGGCCCAGCTGCACAAACCTGCGYGTGGGGCCGCTCTGGGGCATGCACCCGGGCAGGGCACCCAAGGAACCCACTTACCATGACCAGAACCAAGAGGATTACGATGGTGCTGCGGAAGTAGGAGTGCTGGTACTGCTGGGGCTCGTGCAGGGGGTTGTTGATGAGCTCCATAGCCAGTTCCTCCTAGAAAAATGAGGAAGAGACAGTCTATCAGAGCCATGCCTGCATGCTGGCAAGGCCAGAGGTGGTTGTGCCGATGGAGATAGAGCATGAGCACCATGCCCTGCTCTCCTGAAAAGTCAAGGGAGTCTGGGACACTATCTGGGAAGCGATACCCATCTCCCTATGGACTGATTGCTGCCACTGTCCTCTGCAGAAAAACGTTCACCCCTCAGTGCCTGCTTTCCATGCAGCAGCAAATACCTCTCAGGTTTGACTTGGTGGAAACTATAGGTGACATTTTTCTGTGCAGGAGTTGCTGCCCCCTTTGGGAAGCAGCTTGCAGGGCTGAGATGTGGAGGCCAGGCAAGCCGAGCTGACCCACAGTGAGCCATGGCTGGTCCTGGTGAAGTGCAAACCCCTGTGCAGGTGGGAAGGTGAGTGGCATTTGCTGTGCTCTCTGGAGGGGACTGCTCTGTCCCTGCAGGTCTGGAGGGTGGGGGGTGCCTGTGCTGTGTCCCTTTTGAGGTCCTGCCCAGAAAGAGAAAAGCACTAAGCAGGAAAGATGACATCCTCACCTCATCGTCATCCCACTCGTACAGGTCCCACTTGGTGACCACGGTGGCCCTCTGTCTCTTCCACAGCTCCAGGAACACGGTGGCTGCAGGTGAAGAAGGGAGCGCTCAGAGAAGGATGCTCAGAGTTGGCTCCAGAGAAGAAGCTGCCTCTGCCATCCCACAAAGTGGACCAGAGAGTCACTTCACCATCCAGCCTGAGGAACACCTGAGGCCCTGCCCTTGACTTGCTTGGCCACAAGCGCCCACCGCATTGTCAGTGAAACCCCCAGCCCAAAGGTTTGTTAGTTACAGTCACAATGGTGTTTGCAGCTGTGCTAAAGGCAAGTGAGATGTGTAGCTAACGTGGCATGGGGGCCTATCAGAGAGGCTGCATTCTGCTAGAAGGTGGAGAGTCTGTCACCCTGCCTGAAGGTGCTGGGGTGGAGGAGGCCTCGTGAGGGTGAAGGGCTGGGACTGAGCACTGGAGCGGAATACTCAGGGCTCTCTTTGCTCGGAGGTACCTGAGGACACCCCCCCTTTCCTCCTCCTRCTGGTCCTTGTCTGTGCCCCACATGCAAAGCTCTGCTGGGCTGTGGGAAGAGGCCAGGCCCAGGTTGGCATGTTGAGGTCCCAGCACCCATGTTGGTGCCCTGCTCTTGTCCACGGGTTCTTCCCCTGTGCCAGGATGGGCTGTGCCCTTTCCCAAGCTCTGTTTGTTTGCTACTGAGACATTGACACCTACCCCAGATGGCCATGAACATGGCGAACAAAACTGTCCCCTCGTTGTCAATCATGTGAGTGATCTGSAGAGGAGGAGATCAAGGAAGAATGTGATTCGGGGGCAGCTGGGTGTCAGGGCTTTGGCATCCTATGGTCTAGGGAGAAGACTGTGTTCACACAGTCCAGGGGCAAGCAGGTCTTCTTGCCAGTCCAGTCCCACWGAGACAACAGATGTTGTAGGAGGGCCAAATGCAGGAAGGTGGTGGGCACTGGAGACTGCTGTAAACCTCCCTTTACCTCGGTGGTGACAGAGACCTGATACGGCTAATAAACCTCCCTGTCATTGCAGGGGTTGGTGTAGCCAGGTTTCACAGGTGCCTTTTGTCTCCAGTGCTATGGGCACGGCACAAGCTGGAGACGTTTCCACATCCTTTGCCCTATGCCTCTGTCAAGAAGGGGRCTACCTACCTTGGCGTAGGTGCAGGTGTCGGAGAGCAGCCAGAAGGGGCACTTCTGGTCGCAGAGCGGGCACATGATGGTTGTGTTGGCTTTGCAGATCTCCTTGCTAGGAAGGAAAGCAGAGGGGAACCACAGCGGCTTGCCTTCTGCTTAGGGCTGCACACAGAGAGGGCTCCTGAACGGGGAGCGTGCGCCACAGCGCCCAGTGCCTTACCTCAGCTGGCTGGAGCTGAGCACTGTAATCCCAATCACAAAGATGAGCATTCCAAACACGGAAGCGATTCCCAGCAGGTAGGTGTACCAGCCCAGCCAGGCGAAGTACAGGGCCACCTTCTCGCCAAAGTAACCCCTGGGAAGAAAGCCTGGGGTGAGATAAGCTTCCGATCTGGTGGAGGGCACCGTGCAGGGTCCAGGCATTGCAGCAGTACATGTGGGGTGACAGCTAAGGGCAAATAGCCAGGTCTCCTCGCACGTGGCTCTGAGTGATTGCGTGAGGATGCAGCAAGGAGCATTGTGGACCCGGCTGCAGCACCACAAAGCTGCTCGGAGCACAGCTTCAGCTCAGAGGTGAGCTCAGAGCAGAAAATAACATGAGGGGCTGTAGAGTTGGCTTGGTCCCTTGTGCCTGCTATGGGACATACTGGTACGTGGGCGTTTGGAGAGGCCGGCATGTCTCTAAGCTCTCAGCAGACCAATTTCCTTTCTCTTTTCATCTGTCTCCCTGCAATTCTTTCATGCTCCCCACCCCCAGCCTTTCATTAGAAATAAGAKCTGTGCTACTCTGCGTTTTAATATAGCTAGGGCATCCCCTTGCTGCCTTTAATGTCCCAGGTTCAGCCTGAGGCCAAATGTGATGCACTGGTGCTCTCAAGCACGGGAATAGAGGGAGTAGGTGGCTTAAAATGAAAGAGGCCAATTAAGAACAGCGCCGTTGCGGGGGTTGTTTCATCCTGCTAAATTAGCAGATGGAGCTTGGTGCCACTGGATACCCCTTAGGCTAAGAATTTAACAGGCTGCAGAAGAAGTCCAATATGCGTGAGAAGAACCAGGCTCGAGTTAGTGATGTGAAAGATGCCTGGGAGCCTTGGAAAGGCTCTAAACCCCTGTGGGTTTGAGGCAGYGGTGCCTGCCTGGGACCGCTTGGCGGGATGGGTGAGCAGTGCCTCGCTGCCTGCCCTACCTGATGTTCTCGATTGGCTGTTCACAACAGATGTCTCTCCATCGAGCCCATTTCTCCTTTACAAATACATTTTTTTCTTCTCTCTGGAGAGCAGAGGAGTTGGTCAAACAAGGGAACATCAGGGTGATCTTAGTCCCCAGCCTGGCTCCCCAGGTCAGGTTTCACGCACACCCAGGTCCTGTCAGGCCACGTCCTTCACCCACACGTCTGCTTACTCAGCCTCAGTTAACCAAGGTCTCCCCGACCCAGCCTTGCTCCTCTGCCTCCTTTGGCTTTTTCTTTGAGGCAGCTGCATGCTTGGCCTCACCTCGTGCAGTGGAAACGCTGTCTCAAAGACCTTCTTCTTCATCAGGTCGCACAGCTTCTCTGTTAGCAGAGCAGAATAGGGAAGGTTAGAGAGAGGAAGCTTTGATCTCTCCCCTGCATGCTCCCTGCTGGGCAGAATGGCCCCAAAGCTTTTCTGAAGCCCTTGGTGGGGCAAAAAGGCCAGGGAGAGGCTCAAGAGGGATTAGGGCTGATTCTTCTGGTTGTCACACGCTGCTGAGCTGCTGCAGGCTGCACTGRGGCTGGCTCTGCGAGTGAGCCGGGCTGGCAGGCCCTGAGGGACAGCTGGAGAGCCAGCACCCTGCACCTATCCATATCCTGGGTGCCAGGGAGCGCAGGCTGTCCTGGGAACACAGGACGGCRACATCAGGGATTTGGAGACAGGGAATAACGGGTTCTTCTTGACTACTAAGTCCAATCTACCAGCCTCTAGATGCAGCAACAGATCCACCTCTTTGGGCTGAACTGTGCATCACACTGTTCAAGCTGTGCATCACGCTGTGCATCCATCTACGTTCCCTTACCAAGGTCAGGAGTCACCGTGTTCTGCAGGATGAAGTTCACGATCCGTATCCTGAGGGAGGAAAAACAGGGGCTAAAGGCTGTTCTGGGGATACGGGCTGCCCTTCTGCCCTTGAAAAGCAGGGCAGCAGGAAAGAAGAGAGAAGAGGGGCCCCAAGATGCAAGGGCAGAAGGGGGAAAGAAAAGATGACTTGGCTATGGACAGGGAGGAGCTGGCAACTTAGCACTGTATTGCAGTGGTAGGTGATATTCTGTGGAAGGAGAATTCCAGGGATGCCTGGAAATGGGAAGCCTGTCAAAACCCTGAGCGGAACTGGAAAAATCGCTGCTAGCATGGAGGGACAGAACGTTAAGGTGCAGGTAGGCAGTAGCTCAACGCAGTACCCACCTGGTGGTCACTGGTACATCATGCTCGTCACTGGGGCTTTGCATCCTGCTGCCYGGGCTCCTCAGGAGCCATTGGTATTTCCGGAAGATCCATTTTGGGGCACGCACCCCGTAAAACAGCTTCTTGTCTTCAATTTTCTAGGAGGTGGGAGAGAAGACCTGTTAGAGTAACGCTGCCCGAGCCAAAGCCCTGCTCAGAGGGACATGCACGGGGATGGCAGTGATCTGGAGGAGAGCAGAGGCAACAGGAGCTCTGCTTTCCCGGGAGAGTGGGGTGCTACAAGATATCTGGGAATCAGCTTTCCCCTCCGTTGGCCCCGCACCTTGATGGTGAAYCCCTTCTTGCTCAGCTCGTCCAGGAACTTCTTCCTCTTGATCTCTTTCTCACTGCCCATTTGATGGATGTCACTCACAAGGACGAAATCCCACTCCTGTTCATCCTGCCCACAGGAAAACGTGAGGAATTAACAGGGGGTGAATCTCTTGCAGCCTCTCAGRATGGATTTGGGGGAGAAAGAGTGGATTGGTATCTGGCCCCCATGTTAGAAGGTCCCCAGGGACTGGAAGGGAGCAGGACAGTGGGGATGGGGAAACTGAGTCAGCCCGTGGCTGTGATGTCCTCCCTTTTCCGCTTGTGGGAGCTGCACTGAACAATGTGAGTGCAGAGGGAGCAAGACTTACCRGGGAAGGCGGCTCCAAGTCATCTACAAACTCTCTCCAGGGAGTCAACAAAATTTCATCCTGTGGAAGAGAACAGCAGGGGAGGCTTCAGCCTGAGTCCTGGAGACCCCATGTGTGGACTTGGAGCACGCGTGTCCCTGCAGACGTCTAGGAGGCCCTGTGACCACCCAGATCAGTCTGGGTCACCCACTGCTGGAGCAACTGGACCAAACTGCTCTGCTCTGACTGCTAAAAGCAAGTGAGAAACACCCGTTTTTTTTTTTTTATTTAAATCTTTTTAGTGGTGCACAGAAACCTGCCTCTAATAGTACAAACCAGCGTTTTGCTCTCTTGGCGCAGCACTGCAGCAGGATGCAGAGGCTCTGTGGGACACTCTGAACTCTGCAGCTCAGGCAATTTGGYAGGAGTTGAAGAAAGCCACCCTGAGAGAGAGCAGGGACAGGAAGGACTGGGGCATTCCGTAGCCTGGCTGCCCTGGAGGCAGACGGAGGTTGTGGCTAGGCGGGATGCACGAGCCAGGAGCGTTTTTGGCCTCTCAGCCAAGCTGTGAGATCGGATAATACTGCTGGGGAAGAGCAGGGAACGTGGCAGTGCCAGCCTGTTTCCTTGTGGTTTGTGTGAAGAAAAGGGTCCAAAATCAAGGCAGGTGAATCCCTGAGGATTGCAAAGGGTGTTTGGGAAGCAGGTTTATGGTGTGGCCCATGAACAGTTGTGCTGCCGTTCCCAGGGGCATGGTGACGCAGCACAGAAGCAGGAGGCACTGCCAGGGGATGGGGATATCAGCAGTCGATATTGCCATCCAAGTAGGAGTCCCGAAAGAGCGGCCGGAC